CGCTGTACATAATACTGCACACCACTCCATAATACACACATCACTTAGTACATCTATCGGACTTAGTGCACCTATCATACAAACCGAGAGCTACCTGTCAAAAGATGGTCGGTGGTTCCCATTACAGCTGATCAAGTTGCGGAGATCAGCCCACACCCACTACCCATACATATGTACACGTCTGCAATACACTTACACGCAATTTATGTGATACTGCCGGTGTAGCACAGTAAAGCCATATTACCTGACCCCCTCCTCACTGAGTTTTATTATTATTATATCGAAATAGTTAAACAGTACGTTATATTCGTGTACTGAACAACTCTACACGCTCTTATCTCGTCACTTACTGTCACTTACTGTCACTTACTATCACTTACTGTCACTTACTGATCACTGAAATTATTTAGAGTACACCACGAGATATGTCGCAAGATCCCCACATTCCTGAAGATCCCCACATTGTGAACCCCAAAGAGACGTACCTGTTCTCCAACTGTACCCGACACGCGGACACTTTGGGGGTTATACTCGGTGTGCCAGCTGCTGCTCTCGGTAAAGTTCTCTTACAGAGGAGACTTCCTGCTGCTAATCCTTACATGGTTGGGTTTGCAGCTGGCATACCCGCTTTCCTTGCCACTTATTTGGTCGTGTCACCGTTGTATTTTTCTAAAGTTTGCTGGGGGTACATGAGATTTCTTCCAGAAGAGTCCGTGTTAAAGGAGAAGTTATGTGCAGCGGAGAAGAGGTATGACACGTGGAATGTACCGTACAACAGAACACGGGCATTACAAGATGTGATGTTGTGGGATAGACAATGTAAAATGGACTTGGACACAGAGTTAACTGAGGTCGAGTATTTACAAAAAGATGAAGTTCACGAGATTCAGAAACAGTTGCGCAGGGTCCCAAGTGAGGACTACAGACTAGTTCATAGAATAAGGGAGCATCTGAAAAAGGATGAGAGAGTGATGAAGTATTTGGAGAAATTGGACAGAGTCTCAAAGACAATGTTTGGTGCGCCTCCTGCCATGAAAGATGAGCGGTTAAAAAATGCAGCCAAGCCCATGTCAAAGGCAGCTTGAAATTATTACTGCGTGGAATTGGCTAATTAGCTCTCCTTTGCTGGAAATGTAATGAAATTCTTTGTTATACTGTAAGATTGGTTGCTGGTTTTCTTTGAAGTGAATATTTATTTAAATGTGTATGTACCGATTATGTATGAAATTATTTTTAATTCATATTTTCCACATAATATCTGAACATGTAGCTTATAAAGTCAAATTGGCTTGCACACTTCAAAATTGAGCGATCAAGTACGAGTGTAAGTCAATAACTTGCTTCACATCAATATTACACATGATCGGACGTAACTTGCTTTTCTAGTAACTTGCACGTCACGTTTTCCATTTATCAGTTACTCAATTTGTTTGACGTCTGCCGAACGTTTTGTAGCTCTGACAACTAAAGCTTGTCATTATATTCGTAAAGCTGGTTGTTAATGATTGTGTGTGTACTGCGGGTGTGCAGTCCCACCTTTCACTTTGTTTTCTCATGTCTCAATTTTTACTTTACACACCCGCAGTAAAGCTTCTCACTCAACATGTGGAGGTTTCCTCTATCTTTTGTTTGTAAACGATCACGACATATAATTATTAATTATCTTCATTGTTGACAGGGTCACTATCATCATCTCAATCATTTCAACTTCATTGTTGACAGGGTCACTATCATCATCTCAATCATTTCAACTTCATTGTTGACAGGGTCACTATCATCATCTCAATCATTTCAACTTCATTGTTGACAGGGTCACTATCATTATCTCAATCATTTCAACTTCATTGTTGACAGGGTCACTATCATCATCTCAATCATTTCAACTTCATTGTTGACAGGGTCACTATCATCATCTCAATCATTTCAACTTCATTGTTGACAGGCAGGGTCACTATCATCATCTCAATCATTTCAACTTCATTGTTGACAGGGTCACTATCATCATCTCAATCATTTCAACTTCATTGTTGACAGGGTCACTATCATCATCTCAATCATTTCAACTTCATTGTTGACAGGGTCACTATCATCATCTCAATCATTTCAACTTCATTGTTGACAGGGTCACTATCATCATCTCAATCATTTCAACTTCATTGTTGACAGGGTCACTATCATCATCTCAATCATTTCAACTTCATTGTTGACAGGCAGGGTCACTATCATCATCTCAATCATTTCAACTTCATTGTTGACAGGGTCACTATCATCATCTCAATCATTTCAACTTCATTGTTGACAGGGTCACTATCATCATCTCAATCATTTCAACTTCATTGTTGACAGGGTCACTATCATCATCTCAATCATTTCAACTTCATTGGGAATGTCATGATTTGTAGTGTTTGTGTTGTGTATCGTGGCACTATCAAATGAAACACAACATCTCACACAACAACAGTTTTTATCGGATGTTCTGAAAGTGGAAATTTCTCGGAACTAACGTGTGGGTGAAATGGAAACTATTGAATACTAAAGTGTACAATGAATGTGAAAATAAAGCGAAAGATTAAGATTAGACGAATACTCTAAATATTCGGGTATATATCCCGCTTAATGCTTCCAGGGAATTATCTCATTGCTTAAAATGGCAGGGCATGCTCTCTTTGTCAAATGTATCGTATGACACTGATAAAAAATCTTTGAGCATTCTCAAACTCTGATAAGTTAAAGTTATCAATATTAAGTTGATAAAATTGCAAAAACGCTGTAAGTTTCAAGCTAGCTATAAATAGAACCAAGTCAGAGTCCACGCTCGAATCGTGTTCACAAGTTTGTACAGTTTCCTGATTGATAAATTCTATATCGGCCGAAATATCCTTTTCGTTAGGATCTTCTTCTTCGTAAGGGGTTTTGGTCAAGGTGACCACTTAAACATAGAACGTTTTTGCCCTTGCTTTATACAATATACTGAGAAGAAGGCTGACTTGAGGTCCTTATGCTTGCTAAGTAAATACTATTAAATCATTATTTTGAGACTTTAACGACCATCTCTGAAAATCCCTACATCACCAGAGGTTTTACCAAACCTCTGACCTATCACATTTCCAACAGCTAATCGACCATAATCACCGTCGGGGTTATCTTGTTGCATAACTCAACTTACGGGTATTTGCCTCACAGAATGGCCAAAAAAAGGAAGGTCTCTCAAAGTCACAAAACACACTTTATTCCAGTTTTTATCTCATAAGAAGCTAAGTTGACACTCATATTTTTCTTCCCGGGGGTTCATTTAATCTCATAACCATTTTTTCTTTGAGAAAAATTGGCCGGAAAATCTTCCTCGAAAAAAACATGCCTCACAGAATGGCCAAATCTGAATTTCTATAATTTTGTTGATGGAGATACTTTTTAAATTTCTATCACCACACGTTCTTAGAAAACCTATTAAGGAATGGGGTAATAACCTAAAACTCACGAAAAAACTGAGCTGTGAAAAATTATTTCACAAAAAAGAAAAAATGCCTGACAAAATGGCAAAAAAAAAAGAAAACGAGAAAATTTTATTTTTCTAAAACCTTTGGCTCTTGTTTCAGGCATGCTGCTGGTATTAATATGCCTTGTTAACACCCCCATATAGGTGAAATTTCTTAGAACTGAATAAAAAGGGCATAATTTCCTACACCAAAAATGGCCATTTTGTGTGGCGTTGTTCATATTCCCTGATTTCATGATTTATAACCTTCATTCGGCTGTAAAAACACTCCATCTGGGGTGTTATTGTATAATAAATAGCTTGTGAATACTTTAGACTTATGGTTTCATTGAATAAAAGGAGTTTTAAATTTTGGCCATTTTGTGAGGCATATTTTGGCCATTTTGTGAGGCGTTTAGCCATTTTAACATTTTGTTTCTTCCTAAATTGAACAATGTTCGTTTTGTTTGATGAATACTATTCTTTAAACATCTTCTGTCATACTGGTGCCAGAAGTTCTCACCAAAATGCAAACTTAGTTCAAAAATTTGAAAACAAATTTTGTGAGGCATATTTTGGCCATTTTGTGAGGCGTGTAGCCATTTTAGCATTTTTTTCTTCCTATATTGAACAATGTTCGTTTTTTTTGATGAATACTATTCTTTGAACATCTTCTGTCATACTGGTGCCAGAAGTTCTCACCAAAACGTAAACTTAGTTCAAAAATTTGAAAACAAATTTTTCAGTGCTCAAAATTTCTACATAAACAGTCATATTTATGCCAGAAAATGTGGTCCTAGTTAATGATTTCACCACAGGAAGTGTTGCCAGAAGACTTTTGTTTCATATGGTATCCACAAAACCTACCAGTCTTTTATAAAAAATTAGTTACAAAAACATTTACAAATTTGGCCATTCTGTGAGGCTAGCCATTCTGTGAGGCATTTACCCGTATTCATAACTACATATCTTGAATCGTCTGGGATTAAGGAACATTCCAAATACCGCCATATCCTGGCGTGAGAACCTGATAATACGGTGATCTCCCGGTGACCTAGCGGACAATTTTGGAACAGATTAAGCGTGTCCTGATAATCAGGTAAACATTTTTACGGCTTAGTTTACGTAGAATATTTGTTGGATGTTGTAATTTTGTTACAGATACTAAGCGGTACGTTCTAAGACTGTTAAATTATGAGCCTATGTTTTTGAAGTTTGTCATGGTATATATTGGCGTTGCCCTGCGATATAGATTTTTACTGGTGTCACCAGTGGCGTGTTGTAACTATTTCATATCACTCTTTCGCAAAAGAAAACAGCTATTGGAACGTCACGAAGGAAAACGCGGGCCTTGCTGGCAAGTCCATAAATTGTGTCCTTGTCCGAGAAAGTATCCTGAGGATGCAACCAATTACCGATCTTAGCGCGGGAAGATAATGTTGATGTCCACGCTCAATCAGCAACCGGCAACACTTATCCACCACAAACAGATGGTGTAATGCAAATCTACCTACCTTCAGGAAATATGGGGTATTACCCACCAGCTTCGCAAGCTCCACCACCTTACAACCCAGCTCAAAACAGTGCTCCAGATGCCCCACCTCCACCTTACCACCCAGCTCAAAACAGTGCCCCAGATGCCCCACCTCCACCTTACCACCCAGCTCAAAACAGTGCCCCAGATGCCCCACCTCCACCTTACCACCCAGCTCAAAACAGTGCCCCAGATGCCCCACCTCCACCTTACCACCCAGCTCAAAACAGTGCCCCAGATGCCCCACCTCCACCTTACCACCCAGCTCAAAACAGTGCCCCAGATGCCCCACCTCCACCTTACCACCCAGCTCAAAACAGTGCCCCAGATGCCCCACCTCCACCTTACATAAAAAATATGTACATATATTTATAATATATATTAAATATATATGCGTCCACATTGTCATTAAAAAATGTATAAATGTATAGTATCGGTAAAGTGCCAATAGCACTTGACGAGATTGAGAAATTAAAATAAAATTCAAGCTAAAATATCATTATCCTAATAATAGACTAATGTTTATAGAACGTCTGTAGGACTTCCATGGAAATAAGGGTAGCGGTCCTGTGTGTGATAAGTCATGTGATACTATCAGCTGACCTGAACAGGAACACCACAGAATACCTTGGATGTTACGAACGTTTTGATGACTACTCAGAGTTTGGGTGGGAGACTTCAACCATCCAGCCTACTTATGAACAGTCAACGGCTGCTCTGTTTAAGGAATGTCTAAAAGAAGCAAGAGTAAAAGGTTTGTCAAACGTCTCCACTTTTATTTGTTATTGCTTTCTGTCCACTTTTTCGTTCAACCATGTGCTTGAATCGCTCTACAACTACGCAATTATCTTTTCAAGTTTTAATATTTCGTGAACGATACTAGAACAGAGATCGTACATTTTATTTCTGATAAGTAAAGAAATCGATCATGTAATCATGTATAGTGGTGTATGCATAGATCATGTCATCATGTATAGTATGAATGACGAATGTTCATGTTAAGCTCTTAGTCGCTTTTAACGTTCTATAAATAGCGTGAAACACGACACACACACACACACAAGCGTTTGTTACCTTATTATTCGAAAGCGTTTCTCCTTAGCTAAATCGACTATAAATGCAAGCTATAGACATCGTGCAATAGCAAGTCGCTAAAACACCGTTAAACAGTTATCACCATATTATTATGTGGCCCGTCAAAGTCGTTGAAGAACATATTGTGTCGTCACTTCGTCTTTATTTCCTAACGCATATATTCATCACAAGGTTGGAAAGCGTTTATTGTGGACGAAAAACGTTCAAAAACATCGTGTGGATCGTGTTTGGGTTCGTGTTTGGGTTCACGAAGTCCAACAGAATTATTGAGAAAGGGTGATGCAAGTTTTGACTGTGTGTCATCGTGGCTTGATGGACAATGGTTGGTTTCTGGAGGAAACGAGGGTATGCCCACTTATCAAATCGTAGGTGAGTTTTCTTAGTGCATATTTCCACCATGGGTGGCCTTATACACTCGCACACAGTGTGAGGATTTTAAGATTTATTTAATAAACAAGTGCATACATATATATTTTTTTTAAATAAATTTGGCATTTATCCGATGAACACAAATTTCCCACAAAAGCACAAAGTCGAATAAATATCTTCAACATATCACACTGTTAATCAGCAAATAGTAAACTAATTTTTTAATTATTAATACATTTTTTATCCTGTTTCAGAACATCATCTAGCTCAGTTCACCGAAGATCAAGATCCCTCGATCGACTGCAGGCCTCAAACCATCCACTTTTTTGAAGCTCTGCTCTTCAAGCCTGGCCCCAGCTGCCTTGGTAGGTTGATATTATATACAGTGTTACTGAGCTACGAATTCCTTAGCGTGATTTTTGTTTGATGTACAGGTCTTCACTATAACATCTTCTTTAAAAATAGAAATATACTCCGAGCTTATTCGATCACCCAAATCAGAGAAAGAAATTGTGAATGTTACAACGTCAATAAACTCCTCGGCCACATCATGTCACATAGACCAATGTTACATATACGATTACGATTATGACGTTGGAGGCTGTTCCTACGAGAGACTGAATATCACTTACGGTTGTTTGTACGACAGACCATCTACAGGTATGTAAAATATTAAGAGCCGACACAGTGCCGCCCCAGCACTGGTACCAATTACACGTGCTGTGGGGTGTAACTCCAAGTGATACATTCAAATACATATCTCTAATGATGTAAATGTTGAAACACATTTATATGTAACAAGATACTGATTAATTGAATGCGAAGCTTTGAGCTTTAATGTTTTGTCTCAATATTTAATGCCTAACAACTACTACACTAGAGATATACTTCAGTCTGAAATTAATTTAAATAATTTTTTTTTCCAGTTGATTCAGAGGCTACTGATTGGGCGGTCGCACTCAGTAAAAACATAAGATTCATAATATTTGCACTTGTGGTTATCATCGTGCCCATCAGCTGCTGGTGTAGAAGGAAGTCCTATCTGCACCGGTACCCTCAAATACGTGGCTGCTGCTGGAGCTTGCACCAGAGTTGCCCTTGTTTAGACCTCTACCCCAGTGATGCAACAGATCCTCATTCCATGTTCGGAGGAGAAGTTCATGTTAACGTTCAACCTGTATCGATGATGGGAGGTGCTTACCCACCATCTGCAACTGGAGGTGCTTACCCACCACCTGCAACTGGAGGTGCTTACCCACCACCTGCAACTGGAGGTGCTTACCCACCACCTGCAACTGGAGGTGCTTACCCACCACCTGCAACTGGAGGTGCTTACCCACCACCTGCAACTGGAGGTGCTTACCCACCACCTGCAACTGGAGGTGCTTACCCACCTGGAGATGAGATACCTCCCCCTTACGACCCCTCAGCGGCACCGACCGGAGGAGCAAACCTTCCTCCGCCGCCAAGCTACACTGATGCTAACACAAGTGGCGGAGGAACTACTGGAGGCTGGTTTGCAAAACTTAATAGATAATTTTGTGATGTAAAACTTTGATGATATTAGTTTCAGATAAGCCAGATTGAAAGAACAATGTTAAAGAAACCCTGTTTTAAGATAGTGTGTATATAAAGCTCAGTTTATACAATTTCGAATTTTTTACTTGATACTTTTGCGTGATACTTTTGCGTGATACTTTTGCCACAATTATAATAAATTTAAATTATACATAGTTTTTATTGTGTTACTTATACCGACATCTCGGTAATATCAAACATAGAATTTTCCTATTATGTTTATGTTTTTTGAGGTTATTACTCTAGCTATAATTATATCAGATTTTAATCCATATTCTTGATACTTTGATAGCTTATTACCTAAATTTGTGCGTGTATCTAAAGACAATTTAAACATATTTTAGATATACTCTTAATGATCCTTCACAGATTCTTGTACGTGTTAATAATGTTATAGGTCAATAGCTTTTTTTTTTGGAAAACGAAATTAGATATATACAGAATAGTATTATTATAGGTTATATTATATTATTACAGGTTATATATTATGAATATCATCATTGCCAAAATAAAAACCAACAATTATTTGATTTTTGATTCGAAAGAGTTAAATTCTAAATCATCCATGTTAGATAATTCGTCGGTTTTATTTATAGGTCAATTATAGATCCGTGTTAGTTAATGCAGTGCCATTGCGACCTGTTTATGCGACTGTGTAAAATTGTTCAGAATTTTGTGTTTAAGTTAGAAGTTTGTATTTATACTCTCCTACAATTGAAGGTAATAGTTTGTATGAGTTTGTAACGAAATTGCGAGAATAAAAGTCGGACACATGCACAGTGCAGTGAGCGATAGAAGCAGCAGTTTCGCTGCGCAAAATGGAAACCCCACGTCGACCCACTCAAATTACCACTTGAGCGCACGCGCGGCTTAGGTTACGCAGTACAAACTTTGAAATAGTCCGTGTGTTGTTCGCACGTACGGGAGTACGTTCGTTACGTACGTTACGTACATGCCTTGCTCTTCGTAGTAAAAGATACCAATACGTGCTGCATCTCAGTGGCGTAACGCTGCCCCGGCCACCCTCAGGGGGGCGCCAAGTTAAATCAGCCACTAACATTACGCCACTGCTGCATCTTTTCTGTGATGGAATGACTTATAGATTTGCCTGCATTGAATGTTCGAAGACCATCGTGTATCACTAGAAAATTCACAACTTAACCGTCCTTGTCAAGTGCCAAAAACCAGGTATTGCCGGGACGATACATTTTTGAGCGGAATTATAACCTAGAGCTCATCGTGAACTGGCCACGAAAGGGAAGAAGAAACGGTAGTTGCAGTTGATATATTGTGCTAAGTAAACAACTGCTTGATTTTGAAGTGAAGAAAATAATTATTACATAATCACTATTTTAGCAATTTTAACCCCCCTCCGAAATCAACCGTAATCAATACCCAACCCTTCCCTCTTGACAGCAATATTACGTAATCATGGCCTTTCCATAGAAAACACTTTTCTCTACGTTTCATGCTACCCTGATCATGCTATCATGATGAGCAGAAATCAACCGTAAGCATTTGGAACCCCCCCCCGGCTGATTACGTGATATGTAAACGACCCCTATGATTCAGGAATATTGTTGATCTTTTAAATTTAAATAGACTCTGGTTTGGTATGCATTTAAAGAATATTTCACTTCGCAAGTTACCCCCAATCTCCATGCATGATGCAGGTAAGATGTAGGCCTGCGGGGTGACAGCCCATAGTACTGCTCTTAGATTGATTGACTGTACCAAATCATGTATTAAAATACACCTGTGAAGAAATCTTATGATTGAGTGAGGGTTCATCGTGGTGCGACAACTATTGGACTTTAAGGGGATGAAGTAGTTTTGATGGGCTCTGGACGGAGTTATTGGTAAGATTGACCTTTGAGCTACAATATTGTCATGCATACTGCATGGACAATGATTGAATTAATGAATTTAATAATATTATTATGCAGTAAAGCCTAATAATATATTATATTGTATTATATTGTATTAATTGGTGCGTGCGTGCGCGCGTCTCTAGCGCGGGGAAAGGGTCCTTTCTATTTAGTATTAAAGCTAGTAATAGCTAATTTGAAGACCTTCGGTTAATGATCCATCTAAGTGATCTCCAATCTCCATGTTTTACAAAATACAATATAGTATAAATATTATAATCAGAAGTTTTATAAATCCTATCCGTCAAAGTTAAACTTGAAGGCAACAATAATTATTCATACTTTGGTGCAGTGTGACAGCAATGCTTTAAGTTAAACAATGAATGAAAAAACAAGTCGATTGAATTATTCGTTTAACATTCTAAAAAAGTAATCTGATCAACAATAAATTAATTTGGTGGAATAAAAATGTGTCAATAGTAAATTAGCATTGTTTGTGATGGTAAAAATTCCACTACAACTCGAGAACTCCTGCACATGCTTGGGAACTAAACTTGCTGAAACTCGAAAACGACAAATTCTTCATAATCGCACAACTGGTCAGAGCTCCAATACCAACTCCCACCACGAAATAACCCAAATTCCAACCAGTCTGATGACCTCCCCGCTCATTCGAACCTTTTTCTACAACTTCACAGCCAAGTTTTTCAGATACTACCTCGTTAATGCATTCAACATTGTCTCGCAAGGAAACCACTATTTCGTGAACATTCTGAATGTTTGTAATCAAACCAGAGTCTTCGGGTGCATTTGTGGGATATTCTGTAATAAGTTTAGAGCTACCTTTGAACTGTCTCAGTAAATACTCGCTTGTCGCTCGCAAATACTTCAAATGTTTCGTGTAGATTTTAAGGACTTTAGAGCAATCCCTGCAGTTCAATTCCAGATTATACAAACTCTGGGACATGTCAGGCATCTCAAATTCACTGCCATGTACTCCTTTGATAGCGGTTAAAAGTTTCTGCTGAATTCCCATCTGTGATATACCCACTCGCTCCAAATCTTTCTGATTCATAGTGAGAAGCATTTCAAACGTAACTTTCTGTTCGTTAAACAGGGGAATGAGATTTCCCAATTCTTGTGAAGTTAAGAACAGCTCTAGTTCTCTCATCTTATGATAAGTGGGGACATCATTTTCCTTGTCCTCATCAGGAAGGGGGACTGCAGGTTTGAAGATATCAGTATCAGGAGATATTATCTTCTCAAGGTGCTGGTACAGTGTCTGGTGCCCACAGTTGTGTGCGATGTCCGCACATGTTAGCTGTTCGTCGAATGTTGCGATGTAGGGGGAGGCTTTGTATTTTAGTAGGGTGTCGACTGAGCTGCGTTTATTTTCGTTTGCCGCGTGCATCAGGGCCGTCCAACCTTGCTGCGAGAAAATATAAGGTTCAGTAATAGCATGGACATCGGAGATAAAACACGAATAGATATGATAATCAGTAATAGAAGAGCTACAACATTAATATTATACAGGTAAAATATGGATACAAGAGAATAGAGATGAAATAAGAGATGACTTGAAATTGAAAATAAGGACAAACCACATCATCCCAAAAATTGAATATAGGGGGGGGTGTCATGTCCGTCTATGTCCGCCTATGTCCTGTCCTTTTTGGATTCTATGAGACAACGGACGTGTTTTTTGGGACATTGGCGGACACGGACGGACATTGGCGGACTCGGACGGACATTGGCGGACTCGGACGGACATTGGCGGACTCGGACGGACATTGGCGGACCCGGACGGACATTGGCGGACTTGGATGGACATTGGTGGACATTAGCGGACAAACATTTTGAGGACTGAAGAGTACTGATGAGTACTGAAGAGTACTGAGGAGGATGGCTGAGAAGGATGTCTGAGGAGGATGGCTGAGGAGGATGACTGAGGAGGATGACTGAGGAGGATGACTGAGAGGGAGGAGAAGGATCAGGAAGACCCAGGAGGAGGAGGACCCAGAAGGAGGACCTAGGAGGAGGAGGAGGAGAACTGAGGAGGATAACTGAGGAGGAGGAGGACTGAGGAGGAGGACTGAGGAGGACTGAGAAGGAGGAGGACTGAGGAGGATGGCTGAGGAGGATGGCTGAGGAGGATGACTGAGAGGGAGGAGGAGGAGGAAGAGGAGGAAGAGGACTGAGGAGGAGGAGGAGAAGGACTGAGGAGAAGGAGGACCCAGGAGGAGGAGGACCCAGATGGAGGAGGACCCAGGAGGAGAACCCAGGAAAAGGCCTCAGGAGGAGGAGGAGGACTGGGGAGGAGGAGAACTGTTGAGGACTGATGAGGAGGACTGAGGACGAGGAGGAGGAGTAGGAAGAGGACTGAGGAGGGGAGGAGGAAGAGGACTGGGGAGAATCAGGAAGACCCAGGAGGAGGAGGAGGACTGAGGAGGAGGACTGACGATGACTGAGAAGGAGGAGGACTGAGGAGTACTGAGGAGGATGGCTGAGGAGGATGGCTGGGGAGGATGGCTGAGGAGGATGACTGAGGAGGATGACTGAGAGGGAGGAGGAGGACTCAGGAGGACGACTCAGAAGGAAGAGGAGGAGGACTCAGGAGGAGGACTCAGGAGGAGGACTCAGGAGGAGGACTTAGGAGAAATGAGAAGGATGACTGAGGAGAACTGAGGAGGAGGAGGAGGAGGAGGACTGAATAGGAGGAGGAGAAGGAGGTGGACTGGGAGAGGACTGGGGAGGAGGAGGACTGATGAGAAGGATGAGGAGGACCCAGGAGGAGGAGGACTGAGTACCGAGGAGGAAGAGGAGGAGGATGAAGAGGAGGAGGAGGACCCAGGAGGAGGAGGACTGAAGAGGATTGCTGAGGAGGATGACTGAGAGGGAAGAGGAGGAGGAGGAGGACTCAGGAGGAGGAGGAGGACTGAGGAGGACTGAATAGGAGGAGGAGGACTGAATAGGAGGAGGAGGAGGGGGACTGGGGGAGGACTGAGGAGGAGGATGGAGGACTGAGGAGAAGGATGAGGAGGAAGAGGAGGAGGATGAAGAGGAGGAGGAGGACCCAGGAGGAGGACCCAGGAGGAGGACTCAGGAGGAGGAGGAGGACTGGGGAGGAGAAGGACTGTTGAGGACTGATGAGGAGGACTGAGGACGAGGACGAGGAGTAGGAGGAGGACTGAGGAGGGGAGAAGGAAGAGGACTGAGGAAGATCAGGAAGACCCAGGGGGAGGAGGAGGAAGAGTAGGAGGAGGAAGCATCTAAATGTTATTTCCATTTTTGTCTGTTTTTGTCCATTTTTGTCCGTTTTTGTCCGCTCTATTTTTTGTCCGTTTTGAAAATATAGGGTACCGAACGGACAAAAAACATGATCCCCCTATAACAGCAAAAATTGAAAATTTTATTTGGCAATTTAGGTGTCCATTAATGTCCGCCTATGTCCGCCTATGTCCGCCTATGTCCGTCTATGTCCGCCTCACCCCTGCAGATTTTGTCGATTACAGGTGCCGACGGGACCATAAAAATTAAAAGCAAACATAAATGTTTTCCCCTAAAATCGAGCGCTTTCTGCGCAAAAAAGTGACCTCCACAGAAAAAATTAAACATGGCTTCAAATCCAAATTTGAACCAGAGATTTTTCACTTCCTCTCGATAAACTCAATTTTCAACCCAAAATAAAGTCTCAAAGGGGGAAATTACTCAGGTCAGGATTGTAGGCAATGATTATGCCAAACCATACATTTTTTTAAATTCATTAAACTTTCAATTTAGCCTAAAAGACCCTATTTCGCAAAATTTTTCGGGGGGGGCTGCGCCCCCCTAGCCCCCGCCATTGGGGTCCGCTTCGCTCGCCGACAGCCCCCCCCCCCCCCCCCAAAGAAAAATCCTGGCTACGTGCCTGAGCAAAATATAGGTTTAGGGCTTTTCAGATGATTTGGCTCCTCAACAGATACCGACGTACATAACGGTCAATATGTAGTTTAGGTTTACCTGGCCCGTAGGTTACGAATGTGCCCGAGGAGAAAAAAAAGCAAACTTAAGAAGATTTCTCGGGAACATAAAAGTTCACCTCAAAACGAAATCTGCACCTATGGTCCGCCTATGTCCTGTCCTTTTTGGATTCTATGAGACAAGCGGACATAGACGGACATGACACCCCCCCCAATATAGAACAAATGATAAATTCAAACCTGATCCTGTTTATTAACATCTGCGTTGCTCTGACAAATCAGCTCCAGAGCAGAAGTGTAGCCGTGTCGCGCGCACAACATCAAGGGAGTCACGTGGTATTTGTCGTGCACATTCACAAATGCTTTGTTATCTAGCAACAACTTAACGCAGTTGTAAACCTGTAAAGATAAGAGCTTTACTTGTTGTGAGAGGGAAAATCATTTAACTTATATCGCAACTCAGATCAATGCAAAAGTCGGGTATAAATGCAGCTACCGGCCGCAGCCTAAGTTACATTTAATATATCACTGTCATGGCAGTGGAATTTAGTTTCGGGACAGAATAATCACAAAACTTACATGGTCGTGGTTAAGATAAGGTTTGTTAAAACAAGCCATCAGAGGGTAAAACATCTGACAATCAAAATCAACTTTAGCTCCAAGTGAGATAAAGTACTCAACCAGTTCGTGGTGGCCTTGTTCTACTGCGTACATCAAAAGTGTCCACCTGGAATTGTAATCTTTTAATGGAATCTTTCTATGGATCAGGTGCGGCGTGAAATATGGTTAATAAGAAGATCGTGTGAAGGATATCAAATAGTTATGGAATGCAGTGAAGCTAGATGGTTCCTAACATAGCCTTTTCAATGAGTAGGATGAGTAGGATGAGTACTAGGGTTTGAGTATTACCCGGAAGTGAGCTGAGCGTTGACGTCATACTCTCCCGTGTCCAACACACTCTTCACCTGGGAGAGTTGTAACTGGTAAAACCATCAACTTTGTCAAGTAACTAACGAGATCTGTGATTGAAGCACGGTTCTAGGAGGTGTTGATTGAAGGTTATTGATCACAACTTTCATCTTTGTACGGTTGGAGCTCTTGACATCTGGATTAACTTTTGTGTACACTTATTACTGTTACAAACATGGTTAACCAATCTTGATTACATTTACGTCACAGCAATTACAGTTCTCGCTAATGCAATATAATGTCAGTATTAAGATGTTATGTAGGTTACCAGCTCAAGATTTCCACGAATAGTAGCCGACTGAAGATCTTCAAAAGTGTAGAAATCCTGAGTCTCGGTCCGGATGTCCTCCGTAGAGTAGTCGTTAGAAATAGTGACGCTATTGTGACCATTTGTGAGTGGTTTTGTGACCACAGGTTCATCATCACTGTCATCCCAATCACTGTCTCCAATTGATATCATTTTCCTAAGCAGCTTAATTACAATACTATCAATAATTTATACAAAGGTTTACATTATGCGGATTAGTTAACTGAGATGACGAGTTTCACAGCTCAGCAGAGTTATATTTTATCTCAGTAAACCTGCTACGATTACACAATGCACATGCAGGGCGATTAAGATTTATTGTTACCTACACAGATAAATCCAGAAATTTCTTAACATAGCGGATTAACGTTTACATATTATTTTCATTAAATTATATTCTTACACTGAGCTTTAAAGAAAAAAAAATCGACTACTTGGACGACATGTCGGATATTGTGAGTATCAGCCTGAAGAAGACCTAATCAGGTGGCATTAAAAGCCACTTTAGTAAGCAGGATATTTCGATTATTTTGTAGCATTTTAATGTATTAACGATTGATTTTTATCTAACACACAACTTCTTGCTTTCTTCCTTATTGCTTGTGAATTGTGAGAGCTGAATGAGTTCTAACCGGAATGTTTCTCAATCTCAGCAAACAGGTATAATGTACATTCTAGGCGTCCAAGAATACACCCAATTAAAAGTAGGATGGGATAACCATCAAAGTCTTGGTTAAGAGAACTAAACAATTTGTTGAAACTGTAAACACGTGTGTTTCTATTTATAAAAAGTTATCATTTTATTGCCCAATACCGTCCCTGTTAGTATTGCAATCGTATCCATCGCACATTTCAAAATTCTGAAACTTAATAAAGGTTAGCAATTCAACTGAATCAATAACCTTTACATTATGTAGTTACACTTTGAAAGATGGAAAACCACTCGTTATTTAATCTACCCTAATTTGCTTCATTTTACAGCCAACGAAATTCGATATATTTTCCCGTGCAATATGCAAAGCTTTTCTATTATAAAGATGCGCACAAATATCATATTGGGTCCCTGAATCCAATTTCATGTTTTACTTGCTAGGATAGAAAAAGGATATTATAACTGTTAGTTTCAGAAATCACGTATTAATCTTAATTATAAGGTAAAAGAACCAACGTTGATAAGGCATAATTAGTTCCCTTTATTCAGTCTCTTACATTTATTTAACAACCCAGTATATTTTATACCTAGATAATAAGCTAAAATTAAAAGTATAAAAGCTGAAATCAGTAATCGCATACCCTGAAATTTCTGTAGGAACGTTATAACTTATATAATTATATAATGTATGTTACGGTTTTATGCCCCAAAAGTTGTTGTCTTTCCCTCAAAAGTTTTTCGTGGCATCAAGTTCTAGTGTAATGTGTAATCATGCGAACAGTCCCTTACTTTAAGAACATAATCGTGACATCTTAACAGGTAAAAGTAGTGACTGTAATGTCGACTACAGAAAAAGGAAGCCTAGCTGGCTACACGTTTTATCAAATAAAGAAATACTTGTATGCCAATCGCAAGGAAATAGCTGTTTATCCCTTGAAATTCCCGGAAGCGTTTGCTTTAAAGAATAATCCCAATAGAGCAATATAATAATTGATAAGACCGCAATTTAATTTGTTATCAACCCTGCACTAACGTAGTACAATTATTTAAAATCTGTTTAACCAGATCATTAGTTATTTGTTAATAATAAAAATTCAAACTTTTATCAAGAATAAAATATAATAGAACTTTCTACGATTGTAAACAGTAAGAAATCAATTTCGATAATTTGACAATCATAAATTTAAGATAGTAGTCCAGGTGCCAACTCACAGTATCTGTAAAAAGGTCACAATATCTACTTATAGTGAGCATTAATAAAACTGAGTACAGAATAATTCCAGCTCTGTTCATTCTTTCTTCTCTTCTGTCTTCTGTTCCTTAGCTACACTAGCTGTTGCACTGTATGGTTGCTTCCTCTTAAAGCCGGCCCCTTGATATGGAGGTCTAGGGTGACGGTAAGGGAAGAAGGGTCGGGGAGGTCCCCCCATGAAGGGAGGTCTCATCCCGGGGTGGAATTGTGGAGGTCTCATGAAGGGGTGACCCCGGGGAGGAAATGCGTGTGCAGGATGGAAGGGTGGTCTGAATGGGGGTCTTGATCCCATGCCAGCAGCAGGCTTATCAGAAGACACTTTTCCTTTCTCAGCATCTGATCTGGATACTTTACATCTCCTGCACTCCTGTCTAAACTGGAAGTTACTGTTCCCACAATGAACACAGTCCCAGTCACCGGGACGAGGAGGAACATTGGGACGAGGTGGTCCCTGCATGTGTGGGGGAGGTGGTCCCCCAAAGTGTGGAGGAGGAGGACCGTAAGGGAATGGATGAGGATGATGTGGGCCCATGTGTGGGCCAGGTGGGTATCCAGGAGGTTGGTAGTGTACTGGTGGGCCAGGGCCAGCACTAGCTTGGGGGGGAGGTTCTTGAGATGGCTCAGAAGTAGTTGCTCTCACTGTGCTTACATCTGGGGAGCTCGCTGGAGCTAGCTCTACTTTCACAGTGCACCCATCAATTTCACTATCATTGAACCATTTGATGGCACTTTCAACCGAAGATGCTGCTTCATACTCAACCGTAACAAGTCCATCATCTGGCCTGCACCGAACACTAGCCTGGCCATACTGATTCTTCTTAATAGTGCCAACTGTACCAAACTTGTCCGTGATATCCTTTATATTTGGAGCTTTTGTTTTATCTAGCCCAGAAATTTGTACAGTGTGAGGTTGGAATTGTTTCTGCGTGTTTGACTGGTATGTTGGAACCTCTGTAACAGTCTTGGGAGTAGTAATGGCAGATGGATGCGATGCTGGAGGTTGCTGCGCTTGCTGAGCAGAAGCTTGAGCAGCTGCGTACTGCTGATACTGTGCTGCATACTGGGCGTACTGAGCATATTGTGCATAGTATTGTGCATATGCTGCTGGGTCAGTGCCTGAAAAGAGAGTTTTTATGGAATAAAACAAAGTCACAATCACATAGTAACAATAAAAGTGTTGCTTCGTATCAATTAACAAGAAATGCGGCCGCTTTTCTTTTGTGGATGGCCGCTCAATTTCCCGATCCGTGATGGGGTATTTTATCATATTCCATACCACCTGGGGACCCCAGTCTTGGCTGTTTATAAGCATGCAGATATGGCGGAGTGACAGGCCGAGCGCCGCCCAGTTGATATAATTCCATATTGAATTTGAAAATCGTGTATATTTCTATGTAACCATATACCGTATGTTTATTGTTTATGCAACTTGACACGGATCTGTGCAAAATAGTAATACTAACTCAAAATAATAATACTATGCTATAAGCGGGATGCGTGCATGGTTAAATTAACAATGTACTTGAACATTTCAACACCGCGCGCCGACAATTGTTTAATTCAGATGATCGCGCAAAATAACTTTGCGCAGGCAGACACGTGGGCGACACGTACGCTCGCAGGCACGGTCGGTGGTCGATCGCACGCAGGTACGGACGAAAGCTAACATATACAAAAAAAACCTCGTTCGCTAACCCTTGTCCTTGACTCTTTTGTGCCTTCGGCACTTTGAGTCATGGATCGGGAAAAAATGCATATCTTACAGAAAATGTAAACTATGTAAAAGTAAATAGAACAATTTCAGAAAATGAGGTTTAAAGTCAAATAGTTTCAATGTGAGAACAACATACCGGCAGGTTGAGCAGCAGGTACAGGACTAGCAGCAGGAGGGGGCTGACCAAACCCTCCTGGGTAGTTAAAGCCTGTATAAGTTGGTTGAGCAGCTGCCATGTGCTAAGTTGAAGGGGTGTTAGTAACAAAACTGTAATTTATAGTGTATTATAATATGGATGATGATCGATTAAGATAAATTGACTCAGAAGCAGCATGTTTAAACTTGCTATTGAGCAACAGTAGAAGTTGCCACATGGTTTTTTAATCAAGCAGAATTAAGTGCAATAAATTGCTGATGAGAAACTGTACATAACTTCGGATGCCATCTAAGGGCATTGAAGAACGATCTGCAGAAAATTAATTCATGGGTTACAGTAATTTCAAAGGTTTGAAGTAGCCTTGTATGTTCACGGGTCGAACATTTGGTCAACAAATTTGGTGAAACAGTTTGGTGAAACAGTTTGCTCAAAAGTTTTAAAAACTCTGTAGGTCATGCAATCGAAGCTAGTTTCCTGTGTGAGATGTTAATTACGTCCACGAATCAAAATAATGCAGCAGATGCAAATAAAATCACTGCTACGCCAATCACACAATCATACTAGAAACTATCAAGGCCATGGGGGTGGTGTAAAAACCATTTGTCAAGTGCAAACACATGTGATTAAATTGACGAACAACTGAGAAATTTCACAATTTGGAGCTTACGTGAAACGATAATCCTAATTTTTAACTGGATAATTCTTAAGTATCGCCAAAAGTCTCAAGCAAATTCGAGAAAGCTGGTGCTCAGAAATATTATTCTTCAAGTGGTTCATTATGTGTTTTCTCACAAATTGTTTAAAAACTTTAAACAGAATATATGTCAGAGATACAGATCGATAATTTAAAGGGTCTGCTTCAGCCCCCTTCTTGAATAATCTAAGAACAGATGCTGATTTCCATATTTTGGACAATTCACTAAACTTAATTTTGTTTTCACATTACAGGAGCAAGGAGAAATATCGTCCAGACCCCAAAGAGCATCCCACAGTCCCCATTAAGAGGGAACATCGACAATAACATTTAATGTAACATATGGATGACATCCTTATACATAGGCCCAGACATATCAGGGCTTGCTGCGTCCACTTTCTATTGATTTCATAAGAATGAAGCAAAATACAACGATCTATGTCCAAAAAGAAGGTTGAAGGGATGGGTTAGAATCCCAGTGTCACCTAGTCTCTGGAGTGAGTTAAGGATTCCGTTTGATCTCAGCAACATTTGATTACATATGCGTGTAAGATCTCTTCAGTTGACTGAACAGAATAATCGATAAACCATGATTGAGCGTCAAATAAGGACGGGCCTGGTCCCAAATTATTAAGCATTTTCTTTAAATACCAATAGCGATTAAAATTAGATCATTCTTTTTAGGTTCATAATCGTCGATCTCGGTTTTAATTAAAAAATACATTATTATGCGTTGCTCTTATGCCCTTAGGATGTTTTATATTAACTGGTGTATGAACCGGAACAAAAAAGTTAAATTTGCCACATTGCTGATTACAAATACACCGCATGTCGACTCGCTGTTGGCTGTGGCGAGTAAAACTTCGAAATGTGATTAATTGTTAATAATAATTTTTATATTGTATATATTGTTTAATATTGTATATATTGTTTAGTATTGATATACGGTCGCGCTAAATCACTCTACAGTCGATTTTCTTATTTCATCACTTTTAGTTTCGCATTGGATAAAGCACATGTTATATCCGCGCGTTACGTGTGATCATATTTAATCCTGATTTCCCAATTACGTTTCTACTACATGCAGCTTTATACTTTGGATTTCAAACTTCGAGTTTTCGTCAACAGTCAATAATTATCCATGATTCATCTGCATCAGTGCCACTTGTGTTATACCTTATATATAAGTTTAATGAATAGCTGTTAAAAATGTTGATCCTCATTTGCTCGCAGGTGTACTGACATAATATGCTATAGGTACAAATAGAATTGTAATCGATCCTATAGAAATAGTGCGCAGAGCTGGTTTTGTGGTTAAGTTTTGTAGTTGGAAAGTGTTTTTAATGCAGAGTGGGATCAGCTCTGAGGATTTATAATTCGCACCATTTAGTCGTTTCAGAACCTAGAAATAGTGCTCAGAGCTGGTTTTGTGGTTAAGTTTTGAAGTTGGAAAGTGTTTTTAATTTAGAGTGGGATCAGCTCTGAGGATTTATAATTCGCATCATTTAGTCGTTTCAGAACCTAGAAATAGTGCTCAGAGCTGGTTTTGTGGTTAAGTTTTGAAGTTGGAAAGTGTTTTTAATTTAGAGTGGGATCAGCTCTGGGGATTTGTAATTCGCATCATTTAGTCGTTTCAGAACCTAGAAATAGTGCTCAGAGTCGGTTTTGTGGTTAAGTTTTTTAGTTGATTGAAAACCTAGACGGTGCCCGGGTGGTTCTAATGACCAATTTAAATCTTAACAAATATATTATAAAAATCGTAATAATCCCTCACAAGGGCACTGCACTCTTGATAGGAAAATGCCTCACTGTGTAGAACAGCAACTTTACGATGGAATTTAAACCTCATCTGACAAATATCGCGAAAACTTAAAGTTTTGTGTGCTCCAACCGCCAACGGCCAGAATGAATGACTCAATAAAACAAAAAATTTTATCACAACGGGACAAGTTCCCATCCTCATACAAACACTATCGTCCCTAATGAAATAACAACACATGTATTGTAAAAAATGCACTCTAGTGAAAGCCACACTCATCTCACTGATTTTTCTTCAGTATGAATTGTCCCTCCTTTGATGTAGTGGTGCTTGTTTGGCTCAGCTTCTTTCTTCTTATGCAGGTTTTGAACAAGAAGACTGTGCTTAACACGATCCTCCAAAGAGCGGTCTGGACTAATGAAGACTGAGCTCAACTTCTCTGATTGTCGCAGCTTTCGAGCTTGACTGATTTTTTGATAGGCTGTACTGGAACTGGACAGAGTAACCTTGACTGGCCGAGTAGTTTTCTCCTTCGACTTGCCAACTCTACTGAGCTCCATTGCTGGTTTCAGTCCAATCTCTTCAAAAATTTCTTCGACAGTTTTGTTCAAGTCTTTACTGGAATCTTCAGGCAAACCAAAAATCATAGTGTTCTTGCTCCGGTCTTCTGCTTGCACCACAGACTTGACGACTTCCTTCAAAGTCTCGGCAGTAACTGAACTTTCAGGTTGAAAAACCTTGACGTTTTCCTGAACTGTATCGCTGTACGATTTAAACTGACTTTCTACCGTGTCTTTGACGACGGTCTGCACTGCCTGCAACTGTTTCTGCAGTCAATTATTGATTCCTGAGCGCTGATGACCAATTTCTGATTCTCAATCAACTGATCCTTGATTGAGCTCAATCTGTTTTTCATCTTCTTCAAATTGTCATTTTGAAAGCGAACCAAATGCAAACTTTTCCTATCCTCTAGATTTAATGTCCTTTTAGTCAAAAAGTGTTTGCACAATACAGAAGTTATGTGAATTGGTTCTTCACAACCGAACTGATCCATAACTCTTGTCATCCAATCCTCAGCTTTAAACATAATACTGTCGATCTCCGTGTTGTCCACAGCTGCCATGATGCAAGGCTAAGCCACAAGGTGAAAGGCACAATATCTCACCGTTAAACAATTAGGCGAGATAAAAAAGCAGATAAGAGAGCAAATTAAACAAACGTATGCTATTAGTGTAGGGCTGAACAATGAAAGTGAAGGGCTGAACAATCCAGTTGGAAAGTGTTTTTAATGTAGAGTGGGATCAGCTCTGAGGATTTATAATTCGCATCATTTAGTCGTTTCAGAACCTAGAAATAGTGCTCAGAGTCGGTTTGTGGTTAAGTTTTGTAGTTGGAAAGTGTTTTTAATTTAGAGTGGGATCAGCTCTGAGGATTTATAATTCGCATCATTTAGTCGTTTCATAACCTAGAAATAGTGCTAACTGCTCAGAGTCGGTTTTGTGGTTAAGTTTTGTAGTTGGAAAGTGTTTTTAATGTAGAGTGGGATCAGCTCTGGGGATTTATAATTCGCATCATTTAGTCGTTTCAGAACCTAGAAATAGTGCTCAAAGCTGGTTTTGTGGTTAAGTTTTGTAGTTGAAAAGTGTTTTTAATGACGTGTTTTATAACTCCCGGCATGGCTGCACAACAGTCTCCCTTAAGAACACTTTCCACTGTTAATACAAAATAGCATTTACGATAGTTGTTATACCAATCTGCCTTAATAAATTCGTTCATGAATTCATACACTGTAGACTGTACATTTGATTAGCAATTTACTGGGCATGCGACTTAATTGTGCCATGATGTTGATAGTTGCCAAATTTCGGGAGTTGGACTTTCCGTACCAAACTGTACCATGGTACAATATTTGACGAAAGTCGATTATCTCGAGATCTAACTGATAGAATTTTTTAAAACTTTCCAGATATTTCTACAGCTATAAGACGGATAATCTGAGCAAGTTTGGGAGAATTTCTATTTGCCACACTTGAGATATGACTTCAAACACAAGAAAATATCTCCAAATTGGCGGTTTAGGCGGAACACAGGAATATATTTCAAGATCTGACCAATAGATTTTCTTTAAACTTTCCAGATAATTACATGGCTATATGACGGATAATGTGTACGAGTTTGGGAGAATTTCTATGTGCCAAACTTGAGATATGACTTCAAACACAAGAAAATATCTCCAAATTGGCGGTTTCTAACGGAACACAGGCATATATTTCAAGATCTAACTGATAGATTTTCATTGAACTTTCCAGACAGTTACATGGCTATAAGATGGATAATCCGTGCAAGTTTGGGAGAATTTCTATGTGCCAAACTTGATATATGACTTCAAACACGACAAAACTGTACCATAATATGGATTGGTCGAAAATCGAGTGTTTTAGTGAATAACTTAGAATATATTTTCGATTTTCTCAAGATCTGACCAATAGATTTTCTTTAAACTTTTGAAATAATTACATGGCTATATGACGGATAATGTGTACGAGTTTGGGAGAATTTCTATGTGCCAAACTTGAGATATGACTTCAAACACAAGAAAATATCTCCAAATTGGCGGTTTCTAACGGAAAACAGGC